CAAAAAAAAAAAAAAAGAGAGGTGAGTGGATAATGATAGAAATATAAAAAAGGGAAGTATGCACATGAAAACTCATGTTATTATCCATTAGTACTTAACTTGTTTCTCTGTGTCTGATAGACCACCAAGTAGTAATTGTTGAATAAATAGTGGATACTCTGATAGGTATGAAGATGGAAGAAGAAGGGCGAGAGGAGGAAAACAGTCTGAGAGACTCAGAGAAGATGTGGAAGAAGAAGGGAAATGTTCTAAAGCAGTTGTGCAGCCCAGCTCTCACCCCTTCCTGCCCTGGGCCCTCAGTAGGCTGCCAAGACAAGATGAAGCTCCACCAGTGTTCTGTGGGTTTCTCCCCATCTCTAGGTTTTGGTTAGGTATACCCATATCCTCACACTGTGGCTCACTCAGCTCTCTGTTTGATGTTTTGGATTCTACCTCTCCACTCTCTTCTACTCGACTCTTAGCTTTGCCCCCATCAGGGCAAAGGTCTTGGAAGAAACAGCCACCATTTGCATAGTTGGCATGCTGTAATTTTCAGTGAGGAGGTTATTCTCATGTGGTGGTGGAGGCGCTCCTATCTGTGTTAGCTGATGGAGAGGAGCACCTGGCTGTCCCTAGCCAGAGAGGGCTTTCAGGTGGAAGACCGGAGAGGAGTAGAATGATGTGAGTAGTAAAAAGGGGGGAAAGGTAGATAAAAGGTGGATGACAGGAGAGTAATCAATTCTATTTGGAATTCAGAATGTTCCTGGAAGGGCAGATTGGAATGTCCTCATAGCAAAGATGCCAGTGAATGTGCAACTTAATGGATGAGATGTTCTCCAGGGATCGATTCCTAGGCCAAACAAGTTCTCCACCACCGTCAAGATGTGACATCATTCAGAAGGGGTTTCCTAGAAGAAGGAGAAAATAGCTTGAAAAATCTGTCAGTAGTTTCCATCTCAAAATCATTGAATGAGAGAGACAGAAAGCCCTTAGGGTCATCTTGTCTCTGTGCCTGCCTCAGTAGTTGGTCGTGGAGGTGAGGCACAGGGCAGCTTCTGTGGAGTGGGAGAGGAGGCCAGTTAAGGTGGGATTCCTGCTGAGGGGCGCTGAAGACGGAGCAGGTCAGGCAGCATGTGGATGTGCCCCTAGCTTCCTTCTCTGCCACCTGAAAACGTGTTAACAGCTGGCCTCCTTCCCTCCTACCTCACAGGAGGAATCCTCCCTCCACCCAGGCATGCCAGTCCCTCTTTTCCTCTGGGACTGTGATCTCTCAGTAGCCCCCCTCTTCCTCTTGCTGCTTCTGTCTCCCTTTCCTGGCTTTATGTTCTCCACTTTTTGAAAAGAAGATAACTTACTTAGCTCTTCAAGGAATTGCCCTGAAAACAGAAACAAATAGGTCATCAGCGAACGGTGACTAGCTCCTTCCCCCCTCCCTCCCTGTGGACATTTGGAGTGACCCACCCTTCCCTTTTCACAGAGGGACTCCACAGATCCAGTAATGGTTCTCTTCACATTTTCTCTGAGGAGCCTGGGGTTGGGCATGGATAGGGACTGGAGGCAGGAAATCCCAACTCCTAGGCGAGCCCCAGTCCCATTCTCTTTCTGTTTTCCATTCGGGGCCGGCTTGATCCCCCACTGCTTCGTGGTCCTGTTTGCTACCCAGCCACTGCACCTGCTAGTCTTCGATGAAGCCAGTTGTAGCAGATGATCAAGGCAACCAGGGGTCCAAGGACTGGCACGATTACAAACAGGGTTATCTTCCAGCAGGGCACTCTCAGAAAGTGGGGATCTGAATTGTTCACCAGAGCAAACAAGGTTAACACATGTTTTTCCCCATGTCCCACCCACCTTTCTTTTTTTGAGGTATCTTAACTTGGGGTCCAAGAACACCCAAGGACTCTGGACAGAATCCAAGGAGTCCATGAACTTGGATTAGAAAAGCACTCTTTACTTTCACTAGCTGTATCTTCCATTAAAAACTTGGCTGGGCTGGCGAGGATGTGGAGAGAAAGGAATGCTTCTACACTGCTGGTGGGAATGCAAATAAGTTCAACTCTTTGGAGGACAGTGTGGCGATTTCTGAAAGAACTAGAAATTTGACCTTCCATGTGACCCAGCAATTCCCCTATTGGGAATATACCCAGAGGAACTCAAATCATTCTACAAAAAAGATACCTATACACATATGTTTGTTGCAGCTCTATTCACAATAGCAAAAACACGGAACCAACCATACTGCCCATCGAAGCTGGACTGGATTAAAAGAATATGGTACATATACACAATGGAATGTTATGCAACTATAAAGGACAAACATGGACTTCACAGCAACTTGGATGTATTTAGAGTCAATCATACTCAGTAATCTATCACAGAAACAAAGATCAGAGTACCATATGTTCTCACTCATAAGCGGACCTTGAACAATTATAATACTATAAGGGATTGGCAGTAATGGGAAACTGCCAGGGGAGGGAAGGGGTGGGGCTGGCAGTTGAGGGAAACTGCTAGGGGAGGGAGGGGCACACCTCATCAACAAGGGTACCTGCATAATCAATGTTTGTATACCTAACCCTGAATTGTACCCCACATCTTTAAATTAAAAAACTTGGCTGGGCACAGTGGCTCATGCCTGTAATCCCAACACTTTGGGAGGTGGAGGTGAGAGGATTGCCTGAGTCCAGGAGTTCAAGACCAGCCTGGACAACTTGGCAAGACCTTGTCTCTACAATTAAAAAAAAAAAAAAATTAGTGGGTATGGTGGCACATGCCTGTAGTTCCAGCTACTTGGGAAGCTGAGGCAGAAGGATCCCCTGAACCCAGCAGGTCGAGGCTGCAGTGACCATGAGCATGTGACAGGGTGACAGCTAGCCACAGTGTCAGCGGTACTTGTGACTTAATCACTAATGGAAACCACAGATGTTTTTATTCCCATTAGAATTTTTGGAGAAATCTTGAAATACTGTTTATGTTTATCAGCATTTTGAAATTACAAGTTATTAACTTGCTGCTGCATTTTCTTTTTAACTTTCATTTTCTGTTGATGAGAACTACATTTAATGTATTACTTTTTTGGGGGGGAACACAACATCAGTACCTGATCTCAAACCAGGCAAAGTGGGGACCAAAGGGAGGCCCAAACTTTACCTGTATGATGTCCACTTGTGTATGTAATCCTGAATTGTACCCAACATCTTTAAAATAAAATACTTAAATATAAAAAATAAGCTGGAGCCGGACTCGGTGGCTCAGCCTGTAATCCCGCGCCTTTGGGAGGCTGAGGTGAGTGGATTGCCTGAACCCGCAGGTTCGAGACCTGCCTGGGCAACTTGGCGAGACCTCATCTCTACATAATCAAAATTAGCTAGGTGTGGTAGCGTGCACCTGTAGTTCCAGCTACTTGGACGGCTGAGGCGGAAGAATCGCCGGAGCCCAGCAGGTCGAGGCTGCAGGGGCCAGGAGCGGCTACTGC